AAGTCCAAAATGACTTGAAGGTAAACAATACACATACACAGGGTTCCCCTTAGTATCACCATACATTGGAAATGACTTGAAGGCACACACCACACATGGAGGTTTGCATTAGGATAGCAACAACAATGTACAAACTACACATGCCTAATTCATTCCTTCAACTTCAAGACCTATTCACTTGAAATGGTCTTTAACCCTGTAAGGATTTTCTTAGCGGTGCCAGGGAAGATGGCAGGGCCTTACTTCAAAATATGTTGTTGTTGTGTGCCTCCAAGTTATTTCTGACTTATGGTGACCCTAAGGCAAACCTAACATGGGGTTCTCTTGCCAAGTTTCTTAAGAGGGGGTTTGCCATTGCCCTTCCCTGAGACCAAGGTAGCCAGGTGTCCTAACCAATAAGGAGGGAGAAAACATTCAATAGAAATGGAAGACATTACAAAATAAAATGGCAAAAACAGTGATATAAATATAAAACCATATTTCTTAGTCATCCTCAACATAGAGGACCTTTTGGAATTCCTCTCGGACAGAAGATTGAAATGCAGGAGTGTCTTGAAAAGGGAGTGTCTGGTCACTCTGTCTTGACTCTTGAGGCTGAGAGAGCATGACTTGCCTAAGATGGGGGTGGTGGTTTATGGTCAAATGGGGAATCAACCTGCAGAGTAGGTTACATGCCTTCAAATCGATTTTGCCTTATGGTGACCCTATAATGGGGTTTTCTTGGCAAATGTCTCAAACCACTAGGCCATACTGACTCCAATTCTAAATAGACACGGGAAAAACGGACTACCGCAGATTTATTAAAGAGCTTGACTTTCATGAGTTCAACTCCTGAGAATTTGGCTCCTCTTCTCGCCCACAAGCGTCCTCCCTGCGCCACTCCTAGTCTTAAGGGAAAAGGAAACCAAAAGTGGATTTTGGCTCCCCTGAAACTGCGAGCGAAATCCCTTGAGGCCCTCCAAGAGCATCGCCCTTCAGTAAGGAATTGCTTCAAATCCTTGTCAGACAAAATGGTGACTCTCTCAGACAGACAGACAGACACACTAAGCCTTGCCACAACAATCCTGAGGGGATTAACTACTCCGCCACAGGCCTCCTTTTCAACCCTCTGTCCAGGGTTGTCCTCCATTTTGAGCTTGACTTAAGGCTACGTCCGCACTGCGGAAATAATCCGGTTTCACACCGCTTTAAACTGCCAGCGGTCATAGCTGTAGAAATCTAGGGACGGTAGTTTGTTGTGGCTCAAGAAAAGTGGAGGGCATCACCAAACGAAAGCGAAAACCACTCGATAGAAATGTAAATTCACACTCCTTAGGCTGCATCCGCACCGCTGAAATAATCCCGTTTAACACCGCTTTAACAGCCACGACTGATTACGATGGAATCCTGGGGTTTGTAGTTTTGTGAGATTTTAACCTCTCTCTCTCTCTCTCTGAGAACTCTGATACCAAAACTACAAATCCCAGGATTCCATACCCTTGAGCCATGGCAGTTAAAGCGGTTATCAAAACGGGATTATTTCGGCGGCGCCGGCGCCGCCTAAGAAACGCGGGTTTACATTTCCATGAGTACTTTTCTCTTTCTTTTGGTGCTGTCCTCCACTTTTCTTGAGGAGACGGAGGTCCTTCTGGGGCCACAACAAACGGCCGTTCCCAGATTCCCACACCCTTTTGAGCCCTGGCCGTTAAAGCGGTGTGAAACCGGATCATTTCCGCAGTGAGGACGCAGCCTACGAAGCGTGGGTTTTACATTTCTACGAGTGGCTTTCGCTTCCGTTTGGCTACGTCCTCCATTTTGCGGTGCCTTGCCCTCCTTCGCGGCGAGGGATCCTGGCCACACTGGCCATAATGCTTCGCCACAGGAGGCCCTTCAAGGGAGGCAGCCGCTTCTTCCAAAGCGTGGCGAAGAAGCCTTCCCGCCTTTTCCGACCCGCTTCCTCGCCTCGCCTCGCCCGATTCGACACCGCCTCGCCCAGTTCACACAACCACCCCCTTCTCCTCCTCCTGCCTTCTTTCTCTTCTTGTGGGCCTTCGAGTCCTTCCTCACTAATGGCGACCCTGAGGCGGCGAACCTCTCACATGGGGTTTTCTAGGCATGTTTCTTCATCAAAGAAGGGCTTGCCATGGCCATCCTCTGAGGAGGCTGAGATGTCCTCCTCACCGCCAAGGAACCACAAAATGGAGGGCGTTGAAGAAAAATGGAGGACGTTACCAAGTAAAAAGCTAAAAACACACACATTTCACCCTGTCGAGGAATTTCAAAAATGTCCTCCATTTTGGGCATCACTAAGTGTGTGTGTATATGCATATATATATATATATATATATATACACACACACACACACACACACACATACACACACATATCACTAAGAACCATTGTGTACGTTTTATATATATATATATAACATACAATATTACACACAATCACTAAGAAGCAGTGTGTATATAAATACACATCATTAAGAGTGTGTGTGTGTGTATATAGATATATGTATACACAATCACTAAAGCTGTGGTGTATCTATAGATAGAAAGATAGATAGATAGATAACATGGCGATAGATATATACACAACACTAAGCGTCACACCTGTGTGTGTATTCCATGCTTCTTAGTCATGCCCAGAAAGGAGAGCATTTTGAAATTCCTCCAAGACGGAAGCCTGAAATTTTAGGGCTTCTGGAAAAGGAGGACGCCTGGTCACTCTGGGCTGAGAGAGTGTGACTTGCCCAAAGTCACCCACTGGGTTTCCGTGACCGAGCAGGGATTCGAACCCTGGTCTCCAGAGTCCTAATCCAACATTCTCGCTGCCTCTCGCCTTCTTTTTACTTCCCCTCAATGTATGTATATTTCCCCTTTCCTGTGGTACCAAACATGCAGACCTGTTAAAACAAGCATCTTTAGGATCCTCCCCAACATTTAACTTTCCACACGGCCAAGAGTTTTGGCTTTTTTTTTTTTTTTACCGCAAAGGAAGACAAAGCACCTCAAAAAAAAATGTAGGAACGAGGAAAATTGGAGTACCTCCCAAGATTAAAATCTTAAAAACACTGATATAAACTTAAATCCATGCTTCTTAGTCCTGATCAAAATGGAGGACCGTTTGGGAATTCCTCCTAGACATAAGAAGGTTGAAATGGAGGACAAGTCCTGGAAAAGGAGGGCGCCTGGGTCACCCTGCCCAAGGGAGGCCACATTTGCCTCAGCATCTTCCACCCCCCTCCACTGATATCCATGGAAAAGCGAAGTTACTCGTTACCTGTGAAGGAACGCGTTCCCTATGTAAGGACTTACCATCCTACCAGGCGTGAGGCCAAAGTCTTCCCTTGTAAAAAAAGAAAACACTGAAAGGTGCTCTCTAACCCAACCAATAAAATAATA